CGTTGTCTGAACCCTAATGTAATCAGTCCTTTTTGTTAAATTTCCGTCACTATTGAGAATCTTCATATAACTAATATTTCTCCTGATTAGTGCGTGTCCTCTGTCTAGTTTCATCTTGTATAGCACAATAAATTGTTCTAAGGATTTTCCTTTCCCGAGTAGGTAGTTGACTAACTCAATACTAAAGAGCTCCATTTACCATGTCAAACATTGCAGGCGACTCAAAGGCAGACCATACATACAATGCCTAGATTGTTTATAGGCAGGGTCTATCTAAGGTAAATAACTGCAAAAATCACTGCCCCATTAACACTAATTTATTAACTAACTTTTATTCATTTATTTTGAATTCGTGAATTGTCATCGACTTTCAATAATTATGCAAAATATAAAGAATGAGGCGTGGAAGAATAAAAAATATTGAACGTATCAAGGTAAATAACTCCACAAATACAGCCCCATCTCTCAATGAGTAGCATTAATTTTCCTTTTTGATACCAAACAATATAATTAATTATTGAATCGCTTCATTCTCTGATTGATTCACGATTTGTTAGATACCACAAATAATTGTGTAAAGTTTCAACTTGATCCGAGAATGGGTGTGGGAGTAATAACATGTACAGATATTGTACCAGACAGACAAACAAACAGACAAAGTGAGTTGATATGCACTTTGTAAAAATGGGCCAGCTCTCACCCAAGCCATATATTAAATAAATTAATGATGCGTATTACAACCTGTGGAAAAAATCAAGCCTCTGAATGAGACAACACATGTTCCTGAAGATGAATATTTCAAGTAGCGAATCTTGCCTCGTTGAGCGTCTGTAGAGAATGCTGACCAGTTTCTACAAAGCTTATCTTATATAATACAGACGTTACTTCAAATAAAGAAGATTACGTTATTTTCAGGCCCAACAAGTTAGCATTATGGCATGAGGGGGAGAATGTAAAAATCCCCAGGGCCCCTACTTGTGGCCCCAAATTAGTATTTTTTTACACTAAATATGAAATATTACGCAAAATGCAGGGGCCCCAAAAGAGGTCAAGCCTCCCACGGGCCTCCAAATGATGGCTAACTGCTAGCTAGGCCACTGCCAGTAACTCATCTGGGCGCATCCATTGTGTACGGAGACAGGAGCCATACACGTCCAAGGGAACTAACTACGATAAGAACAAAGTATTTTAGTCATGGTAGAGTAGTCTCCTCTAAAAACTACAGTAATTGAAAAACACATGAAGCTAGATTTTAGCCTACTAGATCTTGGGTTCTTCTGTCGCTGATATCATGCTTTTCTTTTATGTAATGAATTTTTTGACAAATGAATCGCTTATTATTGAACCGATATTTGTCTTTATCATTATTGATTTATTTTTAACCTGCATGGCGTAAAGTCAATGAATGTCTGTTTGTTAATACAGACATGAATTAATTTTTTATGGTCGTCCGAAAACCCAAAGTTAAAAAAACTTTATTATAGAAAAATGTTTGTAAAATGTTTGACATTTTTCGGATGTTCCTTCAGAGTTGAAGATAGTTTACTTCCTAGTCCAAACCTTCCGCAGGACGGACGGGTATGACAAGGGGCAGGGTATGAACCTGGGACCATCAAGAACATTCGAACGACAGTCCAGTGCACATTCCGTACGACTAGGCATCCATCCATGATCAGCGTCAGTCTTATCTTAAAACTATTAAAAAACGTATCTTTGACGAAGAGGAAAATATTCCGGTAGCAGATAATGAATTATTGCCCCTTATTACTTGTACATTCCATTTCTTTCTCTTTTTTTTCTTTCTGTCTAACGTTATTTTTTGTTGTTTTTTAATTGTTTTGTTAAATATAAATACACACTTAGTTTTAGTGGCCCTCCATAGGAAAAATGCCGCTATTGGTTTGGTGTTGACTGTTTGTCATGTTTAGATCTCCAGAAGACAAGACTAGCTCTGTCCTGATATTTGATATGACCACTGCCCGGACTGAACGCAAAGAGAAAGCAACTTTTGATCTTCTTATCTTATCTCATCTTATATAATACAGACGTTACTTCAAAAAAGAAGAGGATTACGTCCTATGCATCATGCATTTAGTCGTGCATGTTAACCAATGACTTAAATTCTAAGTCACAGGTTTTCCTGGCTGGCTCAGGCTACCCATTCCATGCTCTAATAGCGCTAGGGAAGAAAGAGTATTTGTACAAATTTGTCCTAGCATATGGAACAAGGAATCTGCCCTTATCCTTGTGTCTTTCAGAGTATTTTATTAGATTTTGTATTTATATTTGAAGTATATGGTTCATTGTTGTATGTATAATTGCTAATTTACTTTTGAGTCTTCTATCCTGAAGGCTCTCTAAATTTAGTGATTTTACTAAATGTAATACTCTAGTAAAATGTGAATATTCGTTTTGCTATGAATCTCACTGCTCTATTTTGTGTCTGTTCTACTGAAAACAAACTCATTTTTTAAATTCAATATTCTTTTTTTAAAGGTTTTCATATACCATTACCAAAGATATAAAAACTGTGTAGCTGTCAATAGATCTAAGTTACATGCCCTCAATGCGTGTGCGTGTGTAACCCAAACTCCTTTTATCATAATGATTCTTTGAGTATTTTTAGTTTGAAGATTTCTTTTTTTTTTCGTTTTTAATTCCCCCTTGTGTTTGACAAAGATAGATGTTTTTGAACTATAAATAGTTTTTTTTACGTATATCTATTTGTAGAACCTTCTACCAACTCACTCCGTCTGTCCGTCTGTCTGATACAAATTCTGTTCACGTTATTTCTTCCACTTGCCATTCTTGGATCAAGTTGAAACTTTGCACAATTATTAATGTCCGTAACAAACATGATTCAATAAAAGAATGAATCAATTAATTATTGGTAATTTATAATTTTGTTCTGAAAAAGAAAAATTGAAATCATTCTTTTAGGATTGAAATTATGACTGTAAATGTGCAGTTCTTTTTCGTATGTAAGCCTTTTTAAAAGTATATTTTTAGATTTAGCTTGCTTTAAATGTAGGTTTTAAGGTAAGAGAAACGATAATTTTGGGTTTAGGTCTAGTATCATGACTATGGGTTGGCTCGGCGTAAAATTAGAATCAGTATATAGGTTATATAGTAGTATATAGTATATAAGGAATGAAAGTTTTATTCTTGTTAGGTAAGCACTAGTTGGGAGTTAGGCTTTTGTGTTTGAATTGATACTGCAGTAAGTATCTATTAACCGGGTCGGTCTTAGATAATTGGAGGCCCTAGGCAAAGTGAATTTGGTGGACACAAATGAAAAAGAAACAAAAAACGCAAATAAATAAATAAAAAATAAAAATTACATATTTTTTTAAAAGCCAAGTGTACTTCAAGAATAATATTGAGAACAAGTTTATCCTTATTTCTTAAAAAAAAAATTGACGAGAGTCCTTTGCGAAGCCCCCACCAATTGGAGGTTTTGAAACCGCTACCTAGTTTGTTGGCCCTGCTATTATTAAATCGTATAGATAAGAATAATATTAATGACTCTAAGAAATGTATATATTTTCTTAATGTTTCTTCTGTCTGCAACTTTCAAACAGTTTTAGATTGAGTCGAGACCATGCCTCGTAGGACTCCCAGATCAAAAATACGACTCGTCCAGATCATGAGCAGATGAGTCGAAATACTGAAGAACTGGGTGGCTGCCACTCTGGAGATGTCTGTGTGATGTGCCTTTCAGAATGTCTGCACGCTTGCCCCGAGTTCAAACCCCACTCGCAGTCATCATCTGCTTAGGTACTGGAAGTAAGATCACCTTGTCTTCAAATCTTAATGCCTTTTTGGAGGGGTGGGGCTGGATTTAGAGCTTATTCTCTTACTGTCAAACTCAACGCTTACGTAATGGACCTCATACACCAATCGTAAACAAACAACATTTAGCCACGTGGTTCCTTATCTGTTCTATACAAATTACTTAATACACACACTGTCACGTGACAGTTTTTTTTTCCATTGTTCTATCAATATTATCACGTGGCTAAATGTTTGTTTACGATTGGTGAATGAGGTCCATTGAGAGCACACAATCTATGAAGTTTTGAATTTTATAAAGGATTTACAGGCCACGTCCGTCTTTGTGGATTATTAACATGGTGGCAATACGTGAATTACTACTTTTGTTAGAGATTCCCTCCTGCGAGGTGCGTCCAGTAGACAAATAAATTATTATTATACTTATACTTTCATGCTTATAGCATGCTCAGAGCGCTTTGGTCCAATCTCATTTGTGGACCATTTGGGGGGGGGGGGGGTATCTAGGAGAACAGTAAAGCGCTCAGTAAACGCAACTCTGCACGAGTCGGGTGTCGAACCTCGACAAAACAAGCCAAGTTTAAGCGCATTTAGCCTCTCGACCACGCTTGCCAGTAGACAGAACATGGGAAGAGTTGAAAGCATATGAATGTGAGAGGGGCCGGCTTACGAAAATGTCTGTTTGCACTTTTTAGCTCTGTCCAGTTACATTTGGAAGCTCTTTCGCTTGTAGTACAAACAAGATTTAACTGGTAACATTGATCTTTCACCATGGTGTCCTTGGCATAATTTAGTAGTACTAATATTCCACGGGCAAAATAAAAAAACAACACGTATCTAAAGGGGAAGAACTATGTCCTTAAAATTATATATACCAATAATGTACAAGTTATTTCCCGTATTCGATATCGAAATAATAAATTACCAATAATTAATTGACTGAGTATTTTGTTCATCGATTCCCGTTTTGCTAGGGAAAATAAATAATTGTTTAAAGTATCTACTTGTTTCTTGTCTATGTCACGAAATCGACACTCCCCCCCCCGCACCGGGGGGGGGGGGACGCTAACGCCGCCGTTGATGACCACTGTTCTTGTGAGTACTTGTAGACAAAGTTTACGCTAATTAAAGCTTTAAAAAATGATAAATATGTTAAAACATCAAAATACTAGCAGTAAACTTGTTTTGAAGTTCACAAAATATTAGGAATAATGTTTCAAGTAATATTTTTATTTCACCGAGTTTTATTGGTCAGAAAATATATTCATAAAATTAATCTGTTAAAAAATATTGCCTTAAAAAAGTGACTAAAATATGAAAAAAAAAAAATGTCTGTACATACATACAACTACGATGCTACAAAACATGTACATTCTGGATGTGATGGGACCGGGGCTATAACACAAGTGCTGGTCATAATATCAAGTTACAGTTTGAAAATGAATAAAAGAATGAGCACACATTAAAATTGAACAGTGGCGCGCGTTCCAAAAATTGCAGTCTGACACACAAAATATAAAAAAAAAGCATTTAGCTTATAAAGATAAAATCCATCTCGTAAAGATACTTTTCAGCTCTTGAGGATAACATCACATGCTTTATATCAGTAAAATTACATACAAGTGCTTTATCTCAGTCCACTAGCATATAACAAGTACTTTATCTCAGACAACTAGCATAAAGAAAATGCCTTATCTTAGTCCACTAGCAAACAAAAGGTGCTTTATCTCAGTCCACTAGCATACAGAAATTGCTTTATCTCAGTCCACTAGCATACAAAAAGTGCTTTATCTCAATACTTTATCTCAGTCAACTAACATACAGAGAGTGCTTTATCTCAGTAAACTAGCATGCATTAAATGTCAGTCAATTTGCAAACATCAAATGTTTCCTTCAATCAACTTGCATGTAACTCAGTCAACTCACATACAGGTGTTTCATCTCATTTCAGCACATTTCAAGCACAAGCAAGACAAAAGTTTTATTATTGTAAAATTATGGAAATGTGTTTGAACAAAACTGGTCACTTTTAAACAAACTTATCACTTTAAAAAAAAATCAATAAACCAGACCACTTTTAAAACGTGTACACTTTTAAGATGTAAATCAATGTAAACAAAACAACTGTTTGTAAAAACAACATCAGCTTCTGCAAAAACAGTGAAGCTTATGCTAAATAACAAAAACAACACTTTAACAGCTGTGCTAGCTAGCGAAGCTTGAGTAACAACAGTATGACACATGTGTTCACTTTATTAAAAACATTTGCCTTCTTCTGACACCAAAGCTTTCACTTTGTTTCTAAAAGGTGAGGCGCCAAGCTAAAAGTCACCTGGACTTGTGGCGGGAATGCCGAAAGTTTTCGAGTTGTCAGAAAGTATCTCAGGACGTCACATCCTGTTTGACTTTGACTTGGACACAAGACTCTTACTCTTTCCAGCAGCTCAGTTGTTGGGTAATGATACTCTAGGGATCCCATACATGACAAATGGCTTGCTCCCCAAGGGCGTCTTCTGACCACATTTTGAGAACTGAGAGATGAAGTCGTATGAGCTTTGGCTTAAGGCTTTCCTGGATTGGTCAGGTTTGTGAAGCTGAACCTTGGGATTGCCTCGGAGCAGGATAGCGGAAGCCAGCTGACGGTTGACCTTAAAACAAAAATATGGTCTAATTAGGAAACAAGAAAAACACTTAAAATAAAACAACTAAAGCTTATAGTATGTGTAATTGTATTAAATAGAATTTGTCAATTATATAGCATTGTGATCTGGACATAAATCTGTGGGATAGAAATATTTCTACCAATAGTTTTTGTTTAGCTTTTAGTTTTCTGAATGCGCTATGATCCTGTCATTAGTCTGGACCAGTTGTGAAAAGGGGAGGGAAGAAGGAGGTATCTTGGTGAAAGTTTGCATGATCGTCATTTTAAATGCATACCAAAAAAAATGTTCAGGGCTCAAGAGTCCTCAAGGGGACTTAATTCAACTTATACCACCACATCTGTGAAGTACGATTTCTTTCCCTGATTGAAGATACCAAACAAAATAATTACCCATGTTTAATTAACTAAGTGGATATTTTTTTTATTATTGATTCTTGTGTTGCCAGGTTGTTATGAAAATTATATGCTGTATCGGTTGTCGTTCTTATGTTTACATGTGCTTGTAACTCGTCCGTAAGAATGTGTTCACGAAATGTGTGTTGTGTAGTCATTCAGTATATTAAAGTCATACTAAGCGGACATGGTTTTCGACTATAATGTTCATAACAATTTAATACACTGTAATTGTGCAAAATTTCAGCGAGATTGGGTGTGGGAGAAATAGCGTGTAAAAACCTTTGACCAGACAGAGTGAGTTGATATAGGCTTTATATTTAGTTTGTAATAAAGATACGAAACCAAATACATCGCTCTGATGATGTATGTTCACTATGGTGGCATCAACGTGAAAGATTGAAGTTAAATCTTGCGCCCATTATGAGAATGTAAGTTAACTGTAAATTAACACGGAAGTTTAGGGTGGAAGGGAGGTCAATACATATATACTAATCTTTTTTTTTTTTTTTCATAGGACGACACTTTCCACTTTGGCCTGAACTGTCATTTGTAAGCGTGCTAATACATCAAAGCTTATGTAGGTCTTTCAAACAATCTGTGGGTATTGATCACAATCTCGTAGCGCGTTTTGACCGGGCTGACAACTCAGTCATGAAGTTTGAATTGGATTTCAGAATCTCAATATATACAGAAGAGTTGCAATACATAGAATGGTTGGCCTATAGGTAGGATCTGCAAGAAATGCCAGAGTTCTATAAATGGGGCCCTAGGCTGGATTTTTATGGTGGCTCATTTGAATCTTCAATTTAAATGGCATTAATAAATCTAAAAGATGGCTTCAGATTGAAGAAAGCCTAGCACTTTTAAATATAGTTTCTTTTCCGAATATTTGAAATGAGTATTTTGTTTAAGATTTCATATTTTCGAAAAGTGGAGGCCCCTTTTAAGGGCGAGGCTCTTGGTGGCTGCACATTCTAGGATTGTAGTAAACCCAACCCTGTCTGCAAGATTACATTATTGTTGAGCTCCTTCAGTCGTATAGCGACTACGGTTAATCTCATTTTCTTATAAAGATGAATACAGAAGAAATTTAAAAAAAAAAGAGTACCTGCTTTCTCCATGTCATCCAAGCACTGTACTCCTCAGTTCCAGGAGGTGGGGGTGTACTAGACGAATGCATCTGGCGGGCAGCAGAAATGTCCTCTGAAGATCCGGACTTGGTTTCCTTCTCCTGCGAACTCTGGCTTTTCAGCCTGGCGTTTCCATGACTGGAATGCTCCGCGTGCTGGATTCTGGGAGGATAGATAGCTTCCCGTGATACTACTGCTGCCTGCCTTGGTAGGCCACGGTGCGCATGCGTCTTTCTCTGGTGCGTTTCTTCCGTTCTCGCGAGAGGACGTGATCTGGGCTTGGGAAGCTCAACAATGTTCTGAGCGAGGATGGCGGACGTGTGTGGCTTACTTGACCTCTCTTTGTTGAGATTGTTCAGATTGCCTGCCTCGCTGTCGTCAGGCGAGGTATCGTAATCGGGTACGAGATCATCGATCCACGTAGTATCGGAGTCTTGGGACACGTTCAGAGACGTGCTGAGTGCGGAGTAGTCGATGTTGGGTGCGCCGAGCACCGAAAGATCGTTCTCAAGAGCGGAAAGTTCCTGCTGCGTCAGAGTATCCTGCAGAAATCTTTCAATAAGATCATCTGACCAATCCATGGGTGGGGCCGTAGGCAGCCGTGGCGAATCGTCTGCCAAATCATCTCTCACGTGATCATTTCCCGGTACAGAACTTATTTCTTGACTGCTTTCTTGAGCATTGTCTACTACGGTTCTGTCAAAGTTATTGCCCCTGGCTTGTCTTTCTTTGTCAGAGACAACCTTTTTTCTATCCATTTTGTCTTGGCTTTTATTTTTGGCGAGAATATTCGCACCATGATCCTCTGTGAATGGTTTCTTGTATGGATTACTGTTATCAGCGCCACTTAGTGTTAAGTTGGCTTCACTTCCGAAACCAACGTATGTATTCCGGTAGAAGGCGCTCAATGTTGGGTATAGCTTGGAGGCTGCCATCACTATTGCGATAACTTTATTGAGCTTTGTTGAACGAATCTGAAAGAAGAAAAACAAGATAATCACTTAAGGGACTTGTGTCCTCTTTCTTATAAATAAGTACAGCCTTCTATTTGTATCTCGCGTTAATGACTAGGTGATAAGCTCGATCGCTTTTATGAAATCGCTTGCATTTTCAAGCGATAACTTAATAGAGTGTCTCTGGTACGCAGAACGGGACACATTGCAAAGAGATGGAAGTCTGAAGTTGCGTTTGCAATTTTTAGAGAAAAAAATTAAAATTATATAAAACATTGAAATTTTTTTTTGTGAACGGGTTTCCAAATGAATTATTTTAGAATAAATTATGAAATAAACTTTGTCAATTAGCACTAAGACTAAGGCTGCTTTATTGATCCCGTTCTGGGCAATTTCCCTTGTCGAACAAATTAAACGAAACATTCATATATATATGAGTTTGTGGGTAAATATGGTTAAGTAATTTTGCATAGATATTTTGTTTCCAGTTTTTCTAGTCTATTGGAAATAATTATATCGTATACAAATTTAAAACAAAACTTGTCCTTCAAAAATCAAAAAGGCGCAATGTAGTCTAAACTTATAAAATGCGATGAAATAAAAGCAATTTTACTCTTTTTTTTTTTTTATTATTAATTCTGAATCCGTCGTAATATTGTGATGTCATTGAGTCACAAATACTCTTTTACAGTGACATTTATTAGACAGTTTAAAACAGGAACTAAATTATTCTAAGAGTCACAATGGCTTCAATGTCAGAGAGAATTTTGGCTGCACGAATAAACAGATTCTAATTTTCTGTTTGAAATAATTGCAGAATAAAACCAACAAGACATTAAACTTCCAAAGATCACTTCTGGACATATGACAGTGCAATCCTTCACATGTTAGAAATGAATAGTATCCGTGCCACAATAGTGAGATCCCAACATAGATGGGCTGAACACGGTAGTTCGCATGCCTTATAAGTGCCTACCGAGACGACTTTTCTAAGGGGAGCTGTGCGGACAGTCACCGGCAAGAAGATCAATCAAAAACCTTACACAAAAACGGTAATAATACAACAGTCTCTGTCTATCCGTGCCTTGAGTGCGGTCGGCTATATAGCCATCTTCGAGTTAACAGAAAATGAGACTGCATATCATCGACCACGAAGGTGGGGTTGTATATTGTACCACCCCATAATTTTCGAAATTCATATATCTCCCGATAACTTTTATAAATTTATATAAAATAGTATATATTCACATTATTTCATATATCCTATATAGTAAGCGATGTCAAGCATCCATTTGAGACATTGCGATATATAGATTATGTAATGGTCATTTTATGGCTAACGAGGATTTCATGTGGCCAGCACAACGACCAACCTTTACTTTTTCCCATCTAGTTTCAGGTACCCGTTATAGATGGGTGGACTTAAGAGACGCCCTAAAGATCCCGAAACTCAAAATACGTTATTCACCTAGACTCGAAGCCGGGACACCGGTTCGGAAGCAAAG